GGTACTTGAGGCAAGCAAAATGTGGTCATTTATGGAAGAAAAAAAAAAAAAACAGGATTTCACAGCTTTAGTAATTTAAAATTACAGATAAATAAAAATAAATAAATAATAGATAAGTTAAACTTAAGATCTTCTGCTGTGGATATTTAGAAATATAATCTATAATAATAATAATAATAATAATAATATGTATTATATAATACTATATAATAAAAATAACAATCATTAGTAGTAATAGTAGTAGTAGTAGTCCTGTTCGTCTGCAGACGCATTGGTACGAGATGACACACACACACACACTCACACACACACACACAGGCGCTAGCATGTAGGGATGAAAACACACTCACCTTGGCTCCTCACTGCTCAGATGGGCTGGGCCGTCGTTCACTGGGCTCCATCCTCGCTCGTCCTGTTCCTGTCCTGCTCCTTCTGTCTCTGCAGACGAGCTGTGTGTCACCACAGAGAGGGGGGAGAGAGAGAGAGAGAGAGAGAGAGAGAGAGAGTGAGCGAGCACTTGGCTTGCCTTCATGAATATCAGCGGCACCACCAGCATCCCTCCCCCTCTCCCTTAGTGTTGTAGGTGTTATTAATTTGAGATTGTATTTGTATATGTTGTAGTTCCTATATGCGCCACAAGAGGGCGCCTAAGATCTTACTAAGTGAGACGCAGTCATTGTAGGCACTAATCTCAGGAGTTTCATATATGGTAAAATGGGACAGGATTTTACTGAAAAGCAGAGGTTCTTTTCTAAAATAAATGCTAATCACCCTTAGCATTGTCTCACACATTAGTTTATTGAATTTAGTTTCATCGTTTGGAATAAAACTGAACTCTGTCTGTCTCTCCTGGGTTAATCAGCTTCATCACTCTCACCTGTGTGCTGTGACTCTCTGTTAATCAGTCTCACTCGTCCTGATTAATTTGTTTTTGGAATATATGAACAAAAACTGAACATCATCTCTCTAGTGCTGTATGTTGGGTCCCGTCTACTTCCTGGTTTTACTAAATGTAACACGTTTATTTAGAGCAAATACATTCTTCTGTCAACATCTTCTGGATACTTTCAGGTAGTAAATTATTTCCTGCTTTGTAAGTTATTTGTGTGCTCTTACATATAACCAGATCCTTGAATTTATCGATTTAAGATTTACATGACTAACTGTCTAAATTGGTAACCGCTTTACTTTATTACATTTCTGTCAGCAAATATCCCTTGAAACTAAATCAAATCACTTGCAGTTTTTGCAAATATCCCTTAAAACTAAATCAAATCACTTGCAGTTTTTAATTTTTTTAATTAATACATTTGTGTTGCCATTTGCATGTGAACACTGTTTTAGTTTAAAGAAGATTTAAATCCTTTAAATCTTAGAAACTGTGTGTTTATTTAGACCAGGGGTGTCAAACATATGGCTCGCGGGCCAAATCTGGCCCATCAGGAGGGTTCGTTCTGGCCCGCTTGATAAATTTTGAAAGCGAACAAAAGAACAAACACTTCATGTTGATAATGTTTTTGTCAAATTATATTTCATTAAATATGAAGATGTATCTAGTACACTAGTACTTCTTTACATTTACTTATTATTATTTATAGGTATCATTACATATGATGGGAAGTGCATCCATCCAAATATTTATATTTTTTATGTAAAATTTAAAAAAAGACTCCGACTATCGGAAGAAGACCTGTGAAAATTCCGGATGTTCAAAAGACAGAATAAAAGTGAGTTTGAATGAAATACCGTCGGAGTTGCGATGTTAGTGGACAGATAGAGATTGAGACAGGCGATCAGTGTGGGGACTTAAGGTAGGTCATTGTGTTTGTTAAAGGCTCTATCGGTCCCCGCGGACTGAGGCTCCAACAGCTGAATAATGTATGTCCGCTCACGGGGTAATGAAGTGGAAGTGATGGGGGAGAATACGGCCCGGCCTCCCAGGGCTCGGCGCACAACTGTACACACTCTTAAGAGCTGCCTGTAGCCTGAACCTGTCTCCCTCTCCTCCCCTGCCTTTCCCCGCACACATCCCTCTCTCCTGCACACACACAGAGCGCAGCAGCTAAGAGGGTTAGCTTGTCTCTTTTCCTGCGTCCTACATCATTAATGAAGAGGATCAGGACATTTATAGTGGCTCGCTCAGAGTGGAGCAGCCTCAGATCTGAAGCTCTAATTATACCTGAGCAGAGACACTGGGAAGAGAAGAGAGTGTGACAATGGCTGCTGCTCAGTGCTTCCACACATACAGTACGATGTGTCCTGGTTTGCACTTGGTCCTGGTTGGAGCGCTGTTGGGGTGCTGAGAAATGAACTACACCCTGCGTTGGACGCAGAGGTCCGCCTTCATTACCCATGATTCTTAATAACCACAATTTTCTGCACTATTTTTATCCTTTGGCTGGGTTTGCGACTTATACTCAGGTGCGACATATATATTAAAATATATAGCCACTAGAGGGCACTCTAGGCTTGTGTACCAGTATCGGCTACTCCTGTACCACTGAAAATCTACGTTTGTTATTTTCACACTGATAACCACTAGAGTTACAATGGCGGAACTATAATTTATTGTGTTACGAAATAGTCGTTTTTTTTAACATGTTCTGATAGGATTGTCATTTCATTTAGCATCAACACCTTGGTAAAATAGTACATTTCTAAAAAATACTAAAAAATGTAATTAAGTAAAAGTATCATTACTTTGCTGAAATTCTACTCAAGTAAAAGAATGAGTACCCATTTAATTTAATATACTCGAGTAAAAGTAAGTGGCAGAGGCCATGTTTGGTGTTCTGGTCTTTTTCTGACACAGTGCAGCCCGATGTCCGAGGCTACTACATTAGCATTAGCATTACAGTTCAATCTGAATGTTGGAAGAACAGAATAAGAATGCTTTTCCTTCTCTCTGGTTTTTACCTTGTGCTCTTGAAATGAAAGATTGATGTGCGGGGCTTGAGATCGGAAAGATATAATCACGGTCTAACAAACACGGGGCTCTGAGAAATATATACTAGAGCGATGCTATAAATATATAAACACATGATATATTAATATATAAGCGGTCCATTGAATATTCAAAAAGATGGAAATACTATAATTTGCGCACTTCCGATGCGTGGATTCTTGTCTTTCTTCTCAGGAGAACGAACGTCAGCTTGGAAGTTTCTTGCGGCCTCTGCTCGGAGATCAGTACCGTGTTTTATGTATTGCACGTAAACTATGTGAAACACAATCTTGTTCATTGTCACTTGCAGCACAAAAACGCCGTTCTCCTTGAGTGACGCGTGTTTTGTGCGAGGACGTGCAAAGGCGGCGTGGAAAGATAACTTCATTTCTGAGCCTTGAGCACAGATGAGGTTAAGACAGTTAGTCCATGTTCGGCGTATGAGCGCCTTTCACGGGACAAATGGAATGTCAATCAAGTACTTGTACACAGATGCTGCCTCTCCGGTGGGGGCTCCGGGATGCTTTCTGGTGATGCAGCCCTGTTGTTCCACCCTTACTCTGGGTGCACTGGGAATATTTGTCCTTTCAGCCCATAACTTCACATCGTTTGATTTCAGATCCCCTTGGCTATTAATGATTTCTTCTGCTCTCTCAGTTAGATCTTTATATTTTTCCTCCGCTCACAAGTAAAGTATTTTTTATCTAGCAACAAATCCAATGTCCCGGTCTTTAAAAGATGCTTGACTCTGGAAAGGGTAACATCACAACATTCAACATTTTATCAAAATCAGAATCTGAAAAGTTTTTATTGTATATATGTAAACATCATACAAACAAATACACATACACGCCAACACAAACATGTATATATGTATGTATTTATGTATATATGCAAAATGCACTATTACCGCATTATTTACGGCAGGGGTGTCAAACATATGGCCCGTGGGCCAAAACCAGTCCGCTGGGGGGGTCAATCTGGTCCACTTAATGAATTTTGAAAATGAAAAAAAACTATGTATATTTACTCATATAAACTGAATATATAAAAAATTTAAAACTTCTGGGTTCGAGCCCCATAGTTCGAACTACATACTCAATGGCGCCCCCCTCCTGTGAGTTTTTACCCTAATTTCCGGAAGGTAATCCCCAAGGGACCACTAACGTTCTATCTATGTGTTCCCTATAGACCTTCACTTCATTTCTTGAGGGCAAATAAAGCTGTATTTGATAAAAAAAATAATAAATAAATAAATAAACAAACAGGACAAGCCATTCATTTGTTCCTTTAATAATGTGCCTTAAATTCCCTCACTCATGAATATGTGGGTGAGATGACAGGGAGATTTCTCCGACGTGACAACTTATCGAAACTACAGGGCAACACCATTATGCTAATGCTAGGTTGTAGTCATCAATCATCCGGTGCCGATGTGGCGTCAACGTGTCACGTCACCGATCTCTCCCTCAGGCCATAGTGCGTACTGGTACACAAGGAAGTGTGCGCTCTTTATGTGTATTGGAAAACTGCATTGACTTCCTTTAATGGGCAGAACTTGAGAAAAATAATTGTTTTTACTATAGCCAGTTAGGGCCTGCTAATCCGTGCTGAACTAAGTGTAACTTGAATTTTTATTGTATTATTTATTATTAAATTATTATTAAATTATTATATTTATTATTATTATTATTTATATTATTATTTATTATTTTTATTATTTATTTATTATTTTCGTCATTAAAAAGGTAATTAAATTAAATCTACTTCCGGTAACTACTTCCTGTTTAATCTGGATCACGCTTTGAGAGTGATTTAAATAACATTTATTGTTCCTGTCAAACGTGTGCGGTGTATAATTTATGTGTTTAAGTGTAGATACTATTATTTTGGAATTTATTTTATTTTCCGTACCGTTTCGATACACACACATGCACTTGGGTAATTAATCACACCCTCAAAACACCTGGGGGCAGTCACGTGCAGCCTGCGGTATGAAGTTGTGGGGTCGCACATGTTCATTTACGTGAAACATGTCACTTATGCTGTCGGGGCGGGTGGTGGGGGAGAGAGGAGAGCATCTCTTAGAAGAGTTTCTTCATCGTGTTATGAACCAAGGACCGCACAGTCCGCGCCGACGTCACAGAGACGCGCCTTAAAGCTGAGACGCGCCTCACGGTGGGATGAATGGTTTGATCATAAGGCACGCAGACGCTGTCGTCGGATCGTAGCCCGTCACTACAGAGCGGAAGCTGCAGCCGCAGCTGCCAGGACACTGATGGTGACACAGCAGGCAGGTGGAGAACTTACTTCTTGGACTGTGTGACTGCGTAGTCTTAAAAAAAAAAACAGAACCGTGCGTAAAGGTCCGCGCGTCTCCGTTTGGATGGATGGAGTGAAATGCGGGTTTTTACGCATGGAAAGTTGATCAAGGAGAACTCGAGCAAACGTTACAGAGCCGCGTGTTTTCCTCTCCTGTCTCCTGTGATTTTGTGATTCGAGCCATGGCTTATTCTCAGCTGGGATACTCCTGTCCAACCACACCACAGGTATTTATACTTTTATTTTATTGTATTTCATTTTAGAGATTATGAGTTACTGGAACATTTAGACAATGAAGTGACGTTCTTGATTTATCAACAAAAAAAAAATCACAAATATTCTTAGCTTGCTTAAATTGCCAATATAAACACTTTAACATTTATATATTTTTTAAATATATTTTTAAATATGTTATATATTTTTATATATTTTTAAATTTATTTTTAAATATATTTTTAAGTATGTTATCTTTCCATATTTTATTTTATTTTTTGTGATTTCTTTCGAAGTCTTGCAAGAAGAGACGCACTGACTTTATTGTGATTTTTCTCGTGGAAGTTCCTGACGACCTCCAACTCTCTGGTTGGTTGTCTAGACTCGGCAACTTTTCCGTCTCACGCTGCGCTGCACTCCCCGGGTCACCAGGTCACCAACGGCCCCGGCGTCGGAGTCTACAGCGGCCCGTATGTGAAGAGCCAAGGCTACTACAACACACGGCCAAGCGATGCCTCGGCTCTTTATTCCAGAGTGAGACTCTTTTACTGCTGTGTGGAGTTGTTTGAGCTAAACGTATAGCTAAATATATATATGAAAGTGTATTTTGTGTTTCAGGGGCCGCCGGAAGCCACGGATGGAGCTTCATCTGTGTATGTGGAAACATCTCAGGGTGCTGCCTACTACCCCTATGAACACACCTTTGGACAATATACTAATGAAAAATATGGGTAAGTCTTGTAATATATAGTATATTATCTCTACAGCAGCTATTCATGAGTGATAAATATATAGTAAATATAAAAACAGAGGGCTAATGCCGCATAAGAAGATCGGGATCTACCAGTAGATTACAGAGAGATCACTGGTAGATAATGAACAAATAAATTAAAATAAATATAAACATATATATGTACATATATTTATAGATACATATATATAATTCTACAGGGTGTGTGTGTAGTAGTGACCATATACTGTAAGAATTGAATCTCATTGTGTCATAGAGATGCATGCATTTAATCAGCACGCCGACATATATTGTATGTATAAAGTATGTTCAGTTTATATGAATATATATATATTTATCCTTTTCAGTGCAGATCACTTTAGTGTGGTCATTTGAAAAGTAGCTCCTAAGCCCAAAAAGTGTGGAGGGGTGATGACTCGACGGGCCACATTTGGCCCACGGGCCTTGGGTTTGACACAAGCACCATAGAATTTTCTGAATTTTAAAATGTTCTTAATGACTTCTGTTCCAAAGGTATTCAGGCTCAGATAGTGCTTCGCGCCGTAAGAATGCAACGCGGGAGACCACCAGCACCCTGAAGACCTGGCTGCAGGAGCACCAGAAGAACCCGTACCCCACGAAGGGAGAGAAGATCATGTTAGCCATCATCACCAGGATGACCCTCACACAGGTGCCCGGCATCTAGAATGAGATTTGAAATATCGGATCATTTCTATTCCTGTCGTCACCATCTCCGACTCTCCAACTCTCTTTTCTTCAGGTGTCCACGTGGTTTGCCAACGCACGCAGAAGGCTGAAGAAAGAGAACAAGGTCACATGGTCGCCGAGGGCCTCTAAGGGGTCAGACGATCGAGGGTGTGACGATGACAGCGATGAAGCTGAGAAAACATTTGACACGCGCGATGACACCGAGCGGCCTGGTAATCACGACTAAATCTGCCACTCGTTACATTAGCTTTTTTTTTACGTGATAATAGGCGATGTTATTTTCAGAGGTGGAAAGGAACACATTTACTAAATGTACTCATGTTACTGTAATTGAGTAGCTAAGTAATTGAGTAACCAAGTAACTTTTACTCAAAGTAAGCTAAGTAATTAAGTAACCAAGTAACTTTTACTCAAAGTAAATTTCAAATAAAACCGTTTTTACTTTCACTCGAGTACATTTTTAGATGGGTACATTTACTTGAGTAGAATTTAAGCAAAGATACTTCTACTCGATTACATTTTTTAGTACTTTGTCCGCCTCTGGTTGTTTTGCAGAACAGCAGAGTGCAGGCCTTCAGAGTGATCTGGAAGACTTTGACCTGTTGGATTCGGACACGTCTGACAGCGAACCGAAGCCGCGATTCTTGCCTGAGGACGAGGACGCAAACCCGAACTCGGACTTCGTAGAGATGGAACTCGCGCGACAAACTTCCTCAAACCGTAACGAGACTTCAACGCTGACAGCAATTCAGTACCAGAACGCCCCCTTCTATCCAAATCTAGACATTGAAAACGCAAACGCTTTAGATGCTAGCGAGCATCCAGAATACCCGTCCTGTATGTTGTCATCCACCGGATCCTCCTCGCCTGTCTACCCGCTAAGCATGGCGCTGACGAAGGTCGAGAGGCGGCAGGAATCGCCAGTTGCTACGCTTAGAGAATGGGTGGATGGAGTGTTTCCCGGGAATGATGACGCAAAACAAAAGACCTGATTAATCCTGAAAAATCCGCACGGTCGACATCTACCGTGACGTCCAGACCATGGCGTTTTAAAGATATTAAAAACTGCTGCACTGCATTTGGTCGATGTGACCATTTGACTCTTTGCTAAACGATTTCCTTTCACATCATGCGAACCTTTCTGTAACGTACACTGCAACTAAAGGACGCAAAGTCCTTTTTATATTCAGCGTAAAAGGGGCTAGGTTTACGAAGTCCACCGCCTACTGTGTTACGGGGTTACGTCGCCATCTACCAAAAATGTATTCTGAAAAGTTCGACATATGGCGTTAAAACTGTTACATCGTAACACAGCGCTATACGCCCCAAGATGGCTTTGTTTACATTTGCCAGTTGTGCTACATTCACTTGCTTCAGTTTTTGTTGTTTTGTTGTGGGAATTTTCTGCCCTTCATTACGACTCCCAGGCATAAGTCAGTACTCTTCTAATGTTTTACGTTTTTGATTACGATGTTGCCGCTGCGTTAGCGCAGGCGAGTGACATAGCTACTTATGTACAGCATGTGTGTTACAACCTAGCTACGTACTCCGACGTAAGTCGAGGACCCTCTGTATTCAGACACTTGTGTAACTATACGCAATTTCAACGTTTTGCTATACACACATACACGTTAAAAAATACACAGTCTTGCAGACTTGCACTTTCGCTAACACCTGCACCGCAGTAAAATGAAGGGTGTATTCTTTAGCATGACGAAGCGTTACCGTATCACTACGCTACATTCTACCGCTATCAGTTTAAATGTTAAATGCTGTTGATGAATAGTGTGATATACCGTGGGTGTGTTTGTGTTTTGAGAAGGTGAAGGGGGAGTTGGTGGTAGTCGGCCGTGACTAATGGAAACACACAGAGGAGGCTACTGCTAAATTGTTAAATCGATGCCTCTTCCACTTCAGCGCCAGATAGAACCGCAATCAGCGATGCGTCCCTTTTCATTAGGAAGCTTTTGACTCGGTCAACCTGGGACTGCGAAACGGTCCCCTGTATAGGAAATACTTTAATAAACCACCAAAGTACTTTTATGTACCAATGTCTAAGTGAGTATGTATTTCTGGCATGCGATACGAAAACAAAAAATGTTTCAAAGACACAATGTTTTGTCATAGAAATGTTCAAAATAACACAGAAAAGTGCAGTGACATGTTTTGGCCACTGTTTTTTTTCCAGCTATTTTATTTATTTATTTTTTTAAATTAAGGAACGGTGATTAAGTATTTATCAGAACAGAGGAAAGATTTGCCTGGGCTTTGTATGGAATTGACAATTTCGGATTAAATAATTCAGGACAAATTCAACCGAGAATTCCATTCTTTTTCCCGCCTTATAAATAAGTAAAATTTAAAGTGATAAATAATGACATCTCGGTGAAGTTTTTGGTCCTTTTGTTCCTTCTGTGCTCCCATGTTATGTCTCGAAACTCATTTTCTCATATCATACACTTTATTTATGAAAATAAAGCCATGCCATGTACGAGCTGCAGCAAAACATATTTGTTGAACTTAGGTTTTAAACAGTGACAAATTTAAGAATAAAAGCTAAAGATATTATTAGTCACTGAGAAAAATATCTACTTTTTTTAAATGCCGTATGTTGACGATAAAGTATTTTTTATATGTTATATACTGCATATGTAAGTTCAAAAATACTGCATGGAGCAACGTAAACACAGGGCATGCAGTAATGTCTTATTTCTACGACATACGTTATTTTTGGTCCTCTTCGTAATAGTCGCAGATGTTAAAACTGAAGGACTGTCAGGTGAGACTCAAAAGGCTCAGCACTGAATGAAGTATTCTCACCTTTAGCTGTTCGAGACATGACAAGAGACACGTCTCCGGGGTCGAGAGCACACAGGGAATAACTGCAAAAGTACACGCTATATATAAACCGGGCCCAATTACAAACACTCTACCGTACCATACCTCCATGCACCAGGAATCACCCCTTTGTTAGAGCCAAAAAAATAAAAATAATATTCATTGATATTTTACAAAAATGCCTGTTTAATTTTTTTTTTCTATTGATATTTTACAAAAAAAAAATTTTTTTCCTGTGACAGTGACAGAAATCTCCATCATTTATTTACGTCTACTTCGTAGTGGCTTAATCGCCGAATCCATTTGCAGTATGTTTGGCGTAGATCAGAGAGACGTCTGTGTTATGTTCAATGACAGTTTACTTTCACACCTTTTTGTCACCATTTGCCGTGGAGAAAAATGGAAAGCGCTACCGAAACGCCTGGGGCTAGTTTTGAGTTTCAAGCTTAAAAAAAAAGGAACGTTCAAGCAGAATCTAATGTCGGAATTTTCTCTGAAATTTCTCCCCTAGAAACGGCAACAAGTTGGTGATCGTACCGGAAGAATACGTCATAACGCGCTATATGCAGACGACATCTTTATCTACATTCGCCGGTTGTACGTCATACGTTGGGCTGTGCTACATTCGCTTTCTTTTGTTTGTGTTGTTTTTTTTTTGGGTACAGTACTTCTCAAATAGTGGGGTGGGCCCCCCTGGGGGGCGCGCGGCGAGGTGCCAGTGGGGTCATAAGGGGCTTTCAGTGGAATATGCCACGCTGGACTGATAACAAGCCTCCAGCCACTAGGTGGCAGCAACTCATACAGATTGTACAGGCGACAGTCAATCATCAGGTGATGGAGTTTCACTACTATTCTGGGATGTCCCCGTAGGAACAATGGACAGATTCAAATGACTTAACTCTGCATTGTCTGTCTGACACCCATTTTCCTTCCAATGGCGAGGCGGTCGCCCACAGCCGCACACACACAAACACTGCCACATACACATTTACTTAAAGCTTAGTCTCTCGTCACACACACTTTGGTTTTCCAGAGCTATCAAAGCGCCGAGTGCCAACTCTCTCCTCCAAAAACTGTCGCATGTCGACAGAGGTGTCTCGTTCCCTGCGGTAACCCCTCACAGCTCCTGGCACCAGAACAAGTCATTATTTCCATGGTAAAGGTCAGACGCTCTGTCACCTGACTCTGAAGTGGCACTCAGCATAGACCCCCCCTCTACCCCTCTGTCCCAAAGACAACGACCAAAGGTCAGTTTTCTGTTTTGCCTCTCATAGAGCGAGTGTGAATTTGAGGTAGACCGGCTGCTCCCAGATCAGCAGACGCTTCTCTCTCTTTTTTTTTTTTTTTTTTTTGGTCAAAGTGGTTTTCAGCACAAAGGTTCAGATAATTGGCTGCAGGGCGCTTCGTAATGAGCTGCAGGGTCTGTAATGTGACACATTTTTTAAGGAAGGATATTTTAATAGGGCTATTAGAGCAAATACGGCTGTGTAGAGTGACTGATTGCTGTGAGGAACACTGTGTTTTTTTTTCTTTTTAATTCAGTGGCATTTAAATCTATTATCTGCTGATAATGGTCTCAGTCTGACTTACACTTTTCTTAACCATCACAGGGCTGGGGTAGATTACTTATGATTAATAAGTGACCACAATTATCCATTATTATTCCTCATGAATACAGTTAGTCAACATTTGTAAATGTGTCAAAAACTGGTTTTGGTAGTTTTGCTGAAACAGAAAAAACAAAACAAAAATGCCACGTGATTTATGTGTTCCATATCTGTTTTCATTGGTGACTAATCCAAATAATTAATAGTAATTATATATAATAATTAATTATGGAAAAATGGCAAAACAAAAATTGCAAAATAAAAAAAAAAGAATTTTGACTTATTGAGTTTGTGGCCTTAAATCATATTGAAGTTGAGTTGTAGTCGATTAATCTTAATGTCTCTCGCAATCATTTTTGAAGACTTACCTTTGACCCTGGATTCTGGTGAGGTTGGTCTGACACAAGCCAGGCGTCTGGCCTGAAGTTAATGCCTCCGCCATTGCAGCTGGACGTTGAGATGGTATTTAGAGCTCGAGGTGTGGCAATTTTTTAGAAATTCATGAAAATAAAACCACTCCAGCTAATGCTAACAATGCAGTGACAGTGCATAAAAAATGTGACTTTCAGTATAGATTACTTTGTCCCTAACAATTACAGCCTTTCGTTCTTTCGTTTTCAAGTCAAATTAACGTGTGCAGAACGTCGCTGACCTCTGCCTGTCAACTCTAGGAACTGCATCCAAACTCAAAGTTTTAAAAATGCTCTACACCTTGAAAAATGTTTTCGTTTCATCGTGAAAAAAAAAAATCAGGGTTTGCAGAGAAGACATAATTTATTAACCAATATGGCAGTTTACACAGAGAAGCACAGAGAATTAAGGTGGAACTATTTCAGTGATGATGCGTCTGCTGGAAGCGTTTTCCACAGTAGCCACATGTGCCCACTTTTGTGTCTTTATCCTGAAAGAGAGAATATTTAGAAATCACAACCCTTTTCTCATCTGATATAACGCATCAACATAGAATTTTGTTATAAAAACTTTATTACTATCAAGGTGGCAAACTATTTACTGCATTTTCTCACCAGGTTTAAGTAGACCTTGGGGTGACCCAGAGCTCCTCCACCACCATCACAGGATACAACTCTTGTAGTCACATCAGTCACCGGCTCTTCGGCCACCAATTTGATGGCAAAGTTTTTATTCACCTTCAGAAAGTCAAAAAAATTTTTAGTCAATATTAGCTTATAGTAATTAACAGAACAAAAACAGCCGAGCGTCTGTTTTTACAGTGACATTGTGCATCTTAAAAAACAATAAAAACATTTTTTTACTGTCACTGTCATTCATGGGGATAGTTTGTAAAAACATTACCTCTTTCTGTCTTCCCAAAAATCTTACTCTTCTGTGGTCTTTCTCATCAAACACCTGACAAAAAATAAAAGGTTGTATGTGGTTATAACATATAAAAAGTATTTTTGCAGAACATAGGTATATTATTTAAAAGTGTGATTTTATTGGAGATATTATTAGATTATATTTGAAACATAATAAGCCTAAACTACTACCATACAAGTACAGTGCGTGTGGACAAAACATCAGAACGTAACATTTTTGTCATGTGTAAGAGAAGAAGAATATATGTTTGTTTTAATATTACATATTTTACCTATAAGCCGCGTAACGAAAGACGTAAGTCAGTAAACGGATAAACGTAATACAGAACAAAATATACAATTAAACTTACCTGACCAGTGTGAGTTACTGGCTCACCGGAATTGGAGGCGTCTAAGCTGTATTTGTGTCCAGAGACGGCACAAAGCCTCACTGGTGAAGCAACCACCTTTACATTTTTACTGAAGGACAGAATTCTAACCATCGAGGACGCCATGTTTACAGCGATGCAGATTTCCCAGGATGCATTGCAGAGACGCTTGGTATATAGGTGGTTCTAAGCCCAATTTATGACTTTCAGGTGGCAAATGTACGTAATCATCAAATTAAAACTTATTACAAATCATTACTTGGACATTCGTTTACTTGTATTATTAAACAGACGATCTAAAACGCAAAACAATATTGTAGCCAAAGTTTTCAAATGTAAAGGAAACGAGATTAACATTACAGAGCGAAACTGCCTGAGAGACTAAACTGAGGAAATAGTAAAGTAAATAGTAACCTTCTCAACCGGAAGTTGTTCTCTGCGCACGCTAGTAGCACTTCTGTCACGTCGTAGCCTTTGAAAGGCTTATTCGGCGACGCGAGTTCCATTTTGTACGTTCAACAAATTTGATACAGGTTTGTAATGCTTCGTTGAACGTTATTTTAATATTTAGTCATTTTAAAGCTGTCCTTGGATCATGTTAATATTTCGCCCTTGGGGATGCACGGGTGTTTTACTCTAACGCTGGGCGGCACTGTTTGTTTATTGTTCTTCTGCACAGTGAACCCTATAATAATAATAATGTTATGTAATCTGTCACTGTTTCATTTACTATTTTAAACAAATAAGGCATTATCAGTGTGATAACGAAAGTAACCGAGAGCTGTAGTCTCCATGGTACATTTGCGTTGAGCATGAACATTATGACCGTGTGACAGGGATCGATTAGACAACATTGTGCCATGGTCATCACGATAATACAATCATTCCATTGATAATGTCACATATACAGTAATAATATATTGTCAGTTAACTTCATATTGTATTCTAGTTTATTCTCTCTCTTTCTCTCTCCCTCTGCAGTCTTGAACACCATGGCGCCCCTGTTGTTTTCACACCTGGCTGCCTCCCTGTCTCGCCAAGTTCTCCAGATGAGTCGAATGAATGTGATATTCTCCTTGTCAGCGGCGAGTGCTTACAGAAGTCTCTGGACTCCCACGTCAGCACGCCAAACACTGTTGTCGTCGACCAGAGTCACTCCCTCCCCTTTCTTGCCCGGCTCTTCTGCTCAGTGTCGACCATCTTTGTTGGGACAATGTCAGCATCTTCCCTCCATCCAGTCCACTGCAGGTTTAAAAACACGGTCAGCCCTGAGAAAGCGCTGCAAAGACTGTTTTTTTGTCCGGCGCAGGGGACATTTGTATGTGTACTGCAAGACTCATCCTAGACATAAGCAAAAGCAGGGCTAAGTTTTTTTGTTATCTTGAGTAAGTTGCTTTAAAGTGCTGTAACAATAAAGTGTTTGTCTGGAGAATATGTGAGGCATTATTTCACTTTCCTCGGGTATGTTTGGCAGAATGGATCTTCAGAATTCAATTTTATAAGTGTAGCCTGTGGGAGACTAAACTTAACATTGAGAACTACAAATAATTTTGTTTAAAAAACATACAAAACAAGAGTAGACAGTACATGGAATAGTCCAGATTAAAAAAAAACAAGAACAACAAGTTTAACGATGAGTGGTATTACGTCACTCAGTACATATGATTACGTACATTCATAAATACATACAGACCTTTAAATAACTTTATTTGTTAAATAATAAATAAAATAAAGCAAAAACGTAATCTCCCCGTCGGGGAATTGAACCCCGGTCTCCCGCGTGACAGGCGGGGATACTCACCACTATACTAACGAGGAGTGACAATTCACTAAGCAGTATATAAGGTTAAGTACATTCATAAATGCATACATACCTACAAAGAAATTTATTTATTAAATAATAAATAAAATGAGGCTTAAAAGTAACCTCCCCGTCGGGGAAATGAACCCCGGTCTCCCCCGCGACAGGCGGGGGGATCCTCACCACTATACTAACGAGGAGGGACAATTCACTAAGCAGTATATAAGGTTAAGTACATTCATAAATGCATACACACCTACAAAGAAATTTATTTATTAAATAATAAATAAAATAAAGCAAAAAAGTAACCTCCCCGTCGGGGAAATGAACCCCGGTCTCCCCCGCGACAGGCGGGGGGATCCTCACCACTATACTAACGAGGAGGGACAATTCACTAAGCAGTATATAAGGTTAAGTACATTCATAAATGCATACATACCTACAAAGAAATTTATTTATTAAATAATAAATAAAATGAGGCAAAAACGTAACCTCCCCGTCGGGGAAATGAACCCCGGTCTCCCCCGCGACAGGCGGGGGGATCCTCACCACTATACTAACGAGGAGTGATTTCCCGTCACTCAGTACATAAGATTACGTACATTCATAAATACATACAGACCTACAAAGAACTTAATTTGCTAAATAATAAATAAAAAAAAGCAAAAAAAAAAAAAGTCATCCCCCCGTCGGGGAATTGAACCCCGGTATCCCGCGTGACAGGCGGGGGTACTCACCCCTATACTAACGAGGAGTGATGGTACGTTACTCAGTACATAGGATTACGTAATTCATAAATACATACAGACGTACAAATAACTTTATTTGTTAAATAATAAATAAATTAAGGCTTAAAAAGTAACCTCCCCGTCGGGGAATTGAAACCCCGCCCCCCCCCCGGCCGGGGGGGGGGGTCCCCCCCACAACAAACCAATTAAGGCTTAAAAAGAGATCTCCCCGTCGGGGAATTGAACCCCGGTCTCCCGCGTGACAGGCGGGGATACTCACCACTATACTAACGAGGAGTGATGGTACGTTACTCAGTACATAGGATTACGCACATTCATAAATACATACAGACCTACAAATAACTTTATTTGTTAAATAATAAATAAATCAAGGCTTAAAAATTAATCTCCCCGTCGGGGAATTGAACCCCGGTCTCCCGCGCGACAGGCGGGGGGAATCTCCCCCCCACGTACAAGGGGGGGGGGGAAGCCAGTACATAGGATTACGTAATTCATAAATACATACAGACCTAGAAAGAACTTTATTTGCTAAATAATAAATAAAATGAAGCAAAAAAAAAGTGATCTCCCCGTCGGGGAATTGAACCCCGGTCTCCCGCGTGACAGGCGGGGATACTCACCACTATACTAACGAGGAGTGATAACGCATGTATAGTAACACCTGATTCTGTGCATGTACTGTGCCTGATAAATCTAAATATTTTTGGCACTGTTTTGCCAAGAAAAATATCTCTAATTTCCCCAAAGTAGAACAGATAAAGAAAATGCTAAAATTCACTTAGCTGCTGCAACAACTCATCCCTTGGGGGAGCTGTCCCACCACTGTTGTAATGAATACTGTTTTATAGCCCAAACCAAGAAAAACAAACATTCCAGGTGAGGACTGGTCTAAAATATATATATATATATCTAAAACAGGTGTACACATAAATTAGTACATGTAATAATATAAGGTAAACTTCCTGAAATTCCCTGGAATGGTCTTTTTAGTTTCCTTTGCCCTTGTCTTTTTATTGCGTTGCTGATATTATTTTGTACTTTTTCAGTTATTCACGTGAATCACTAAAGATCACGGACCCCAATAAAGGGGTCAGCTAATTGTTACCCTTATGAAATACAAGGAGAAAAGCTCTCTGTACTCTGATGCCTTTGATGTAACATCTAAATGCTTAAGCTACATGTTGTCAAATAAATCATTTTTCGAAGAATTTTAAATTTAAGTTTAATTTTTTTCGATCAAAATGCATTTTGAAACAAATTATTTCAGTGTTTTTGTTTTTTGTTTTGTTCCTAAACCAAAACAAACAAGCGACTTAATGTCGCTTACCAATGACGGATAGACAGTTTATTTTGACAAATGGTGCCGGAAGTCGAATATTTTTTCTCAGCGGTAACTTGTTGCTCGCTTCCCGTCAGCATCAGTGTATGACTCTGCTCAGAGAGGAAGGTGAAGTCAGCGTTGACGGAGAACTCTCCTCTGTACAGTGGCGTGAAAACAGGGAATTTTGCCAACGTAACGGGACATTCGGGACACACCTTCCTCTTCTCCGACTCTTGGACTATCGGAAATGAAGTCGTCCAACACTCGGCCCTCCAGAGTGGGCAAAAACCCGTTTGTCCACAAGCTGAAATTCACCATGGCAGAGAAAATAAAGGTAAGAACAACACAAGGCGCACGAGTTGAACGCCCTCCCCTTACCTTGAAAGAGAGGGCACCTCCCTAATTATGCTGTGTAATTGCAGTACATATACCGGACTCGATATGCAACTCACTTTACATTTGTATTGTTATCCTAACATCATCACGGACCACAATAGTAAGAAGTTTCTAAGCCTGCATGTGAGGTAGTGAAAAGTAAACATTATTCCGGTGTGTTTTTCAGTACGGAACAATTGAGAAGAGTTGTCATTTTGTGTGGTCCTCATAACAAACAAACATTTGTAGAAACGTATGTTCAACACACACTTATACATGTACAATTTATATATATATATATATTATACTTTATTTGACAACGAAATTAAAACAAACTCATGACTTTATTTTCCCTTTTATAATAAATATTGCTGTTTTTCGCTCTAACGCAACTTGAAACTGAAATGGCGACTTATCACAATTACATACACGATTTTTGCTTGTCAATTTCCGGTTTCTGTCTCGTATTTAGCTTTAATTAACACAGTATAAATAACTGTAAAAAAAAATTAAAAAAAAATATAAATATATTTTTTACCTAAATAGAATTACATATAATTGCACAAAAAACTTTGTTAAATGTAGTTAAATAAAAATAAATAATGTCAAACATTTGCAGGTTGGCATTCCATTGTCTTGCTAAGTTCACTGTCCCACGTTTTATTGCCTCAATTTGCAAAAATACCAAAGGTGACTCTGCATAACCCACCTTTGCGTAATGAAATATTTGCATCACTTTTTGCACTGTGTACCTGCACACTGAGAAGTGCTTTAAAAAAAAAAATCCCAACAGTATCTTTCCGACTGCAACGACTGAACAACCCTCTGTCAGTTTACTTGTCATGATGATGCTAATCAGACCAACGTGTACTTAACCTCCTCCCACATTCCCCGCTTTTTAGTCAAATGTTTTTGCTCTTAAGCGCCCACCTCAGTGTTTATGTGCATTCAGTTGAATTAAAATGATTTGCAGGAACAGAATTTGAGAAGCTGAAAGGCTAGTTTATTTGAGGAAATCAAATATGTGTCCTGTGCTGCACAATGTTTGTGAAGAACAAGGTAAAATGACATGACTTTGTAGCGCGGCTGTGGTCGGTGAGCTCCTGTGGTGGTGGTAGTTTGTGGCTACACCCTAAATCAACCATTACAATCAATAGAACCCCTTTATTGTAGATTGCCCAGGAGCCAAAAATACTGTATCATCAATCAACCAATAGATCAATAGCATTTCTTCCCTGTTTATTGGAAATATCTTGCTGATGACACGAAAACTGACCAGCTAATGAAATAATACACCGTGTGTTTTTTTTTTTTTTTTTTTTTTTTTTTACAACGCAATTAGGCTCTAACGCTGTCATTGCCCACACATTGTTTATTTATAAGGCTTCAATTTCTGAGCTTTCTGAGAAAGCTATCATGTTGTAGTTTTCGGAGCAAGCTGTAGTCATCAGTAAGAACAGGGGTGGCGCTGTTACACGGTGCACTGTAATGGCACTTAGAAAAATTCATTTTTAAATATTTTAGTAGAAAATGTAGTGGCTTTCTGATGAATGACGATAAGAGGCAGCTTTTGTGGCCAAATGCGGTACCGCAGCCAGAGTTGCATTTCTAGGAATGTTCAAAAGTTTGACATAAAAAGTCATTCATTTGGTTGAAAACTATGGGAGTAAGTGTTGCTGGAGACATTCATACAGTCAGAACAGAGTCAGAAGTGAATTCCCTCTGTTCTACTCTTATCTGGTTCATCTGCCTCCCTGTTGCCCCAGGGCCCGGAGTTACTCGCTCCCATTCACGGCAAAACATAACAAAGCACAAGCATTGAAACTGACCTTTTGTACTGTAGTCACGGTCTGTGCCCAACCAGTAGACTTCAACTTAAACAAGCTTTCTTCCATATAAACTTCGTAGGGGCGATGTAAGAGGTAATTATTTTCCTGGTACTTCCTCTAGAAAGAGTAGTTGGTTTGACTGCAAAGGTTCCAACAAAAGTAATTTTTTCCATTTCTGTTAGAAGATATTACTCACTATAAAGTATTTAAAAGGTTAGTGCTCGTTTGTCATATTCCCCCCAGTGACTTCCTACTTTTATTTAAGTCGTTTGTTTCCCATTCTGAGTGCTGTGAACTGTGAGACATAAAAACACGTTTATCCAAGAAAATGTTCTTTTCTGTAAGGACAACAAAATGATCACTGTGTTATGAATATGCACGTCACTCCAGTGACTTGACCTTTGAGTAAACACAATCGACAATGTGGGTCATTTAAAGCTACAGCGCAAAGAATTCACAGCAACACATAGAACTGTTTGAAAATGGATCTCCTTAGTCATTTTTTAAAAGGTCACAGAAAATTTTTGCTTCAGTCGTATCAGCAATTTTTCTACGCTTCTGTTAGAAGTGATGGGGTGATGGGGTGGCCGTGCTAGGGTTCAGTGCCTTGGATATACAGTGGCTAACATGTTATATGCTAGTTTTACTATCTGCTAGTGCCTATTAACGGAGCGCTTTTTTCGCTTTTATGAAGGGAAGTCCGCTGTAAATTCAGTTCAACATATTTAACTGAAGGTTAGTAGACACTTGGGTTATGTTAACAGTTGTAATATCTTTATCTGTGTGCTCTCAGCTTCTTATCTAACGCTGCCTGTGAAACATCCCCAATTTGTGCAACAACCGCACCACCCCACCCCACCCCACCCCACCCATTATCATAATTTGTCACGAGCAATCAGATGTCACCGCAGGTTTCGTAGCTGTTAAAAGCACGCTGGGCCATTTCACTCATGCTGGGCCATTTCACACACACTCATGTGCATTTGGAGTGCCATATTTATGGAAGAGCAGTGATGGATAATAATAATAGAATGAACATTTTAGGTAACGAAAAAAATTCATTATAAGCATATTTTTTATCTGACAAACAAACATTTGTGTCCTGATTTTATTATATCTTATTTATATTATTTATTGATCTGGCCAAATGGTGGTTAAATCACTGGCTCCCGGGGCTTTCAAAGTCATTTTCAAAGATGCCCAAGTGGTGTTGGTAGTCACTACTACTACTAGAAGATCTAAAGCAAGGATAAGGGATATTTCTGGGGGCATTTTTGTCTAACATTTGTAGAAGACTTTTATTTTGAAATCCCGGTGCAGGCCAGATTGAATGGGTTAGTGGGCCGGATTCAAACATGTGACACTGATGACTTTAAGGGATGCAGCTTTTTAACATATTATTGCATTCTAATATCTAAAGAAGATACTAGAAACGTAGGCCCTCTACTTATTTTAATACCACTTCCTGGGAAAATGTCAACAGTTCCTCACAAATGGATTCGTAAGGCTTTGGTGATGAGTCTACTGCATGTCAATGTTGGGGGTGGGAGAGTGCCGTAGTGGACTCGAGAGTGTCATAAATTGCCCTCCCATTACAGTTTATTTATTATTACTGCCCTGCTGTTTGCACCTGAGCACACCCAGAGAGGAAGGCCAGGACAGGAAGAAGGGCGGTTAGTTATGGATCTCCAGAGGGATGACAAAAAACACATTAATGCAAAGGAGGAGTTGAAGGATGAACAGCATATAGACAGAAACAGATGGGAGAGAGCATGGGATGGACGGAAGGAACGAAGCAGAGGGAGGAAGGGTAGTTGAAGGGAGGTGTACCTCTGGAGGCGGAGCTAACTGCATTGATAAAATCTGGGGTATGAAAACGATCAAACGGGATTCAGACAAGGCCGCGGAATAAGCTGGAGGTGTCACACAGTCTAGATTTATACTGTCCTACATGACCTTTATGACCCCATTAGTATACACACCCACAGCACACGTGTGTCATTACCCAGTAAGAGAAAAGCCATGACAGGCCGGGTCAGCTGACATCGCATCCTGTTAGTACAATCAGGCCTCAGTTAAGTTCGTCTCAGATTTACGGAACTTATTCAGTTGGACGCGCCGAGTCATGGCCGAGTCATCCGACAAACTTCTGTTTCCTTCAAAGCTTTTATAGTTTTTACCAATCACATCTCATCTGAATATTACCTAGCCCACAGACCTTTCATTATGTAATAATAATAATAAAAAATATTATTATTATTTTATTACTATTATTATTGTTGTTGTTGTTGTTGTTATTTTTTAAATAATAATAATAATTATTATTATTACCATATTAATATTGTTATTGTTGTTGTTATTTTTTTATTATTTATTTATTATTATTAGTGAATTATTGGAGAATTTTGTTCCTTATTCAACATGACATATTATTGTCATAGAACATAGACACAGACATAACTGGTGGGGCTTTTAGAAGGATGGGGGCAGTAAGACGACACCAAGAGCCCCTGACTGATAGGGGCCCAAATAAATATTAGAATGTTATATCAACATATTATGTTAAACTACATTGAGGCCCACAATCCCTTGCAGTGGCCACTGAGTAGTTTGTTTCAATGTTTTTATCATTTGTTATTGAGACTGAGAGGCGAAGTGAGTAAGTAGGTGATAGAACGTGACTCATCTTAGTGTGTGTGTGTGTGTGTGTGTTTTTCTTTAGCAAGAATGACAAATAGGTATGTATACTGTGCAGTAAGAACAGTTGGAATGTGGCCCTGTTGGGTCTGAAGGTGTATACTTGTTACATGAGAGCACTGTAAATGTTTTGTTTGACTTTGTTCGACGTTTAGAAATGCAGAAAATCCAGAAAATGAATTCCTCCCTCTCTCTCTCTCTGTCCCCTTCTCTCTCTGCCTTTCCCCAGATAGGACTGATGTCAGTGACGGTGTTTCCTGTGCGGCTGCTGCTGGTGTCATTCTTCATGTTGTTGGCCTGGCCCTTTGCCTTCGCTGCCTCCTTTGGACGTTCCAATTTTGTTGTTGAACCACAGACATGGTGGAGGAGGTGTGTCAAATACGAAATTATCAATACGCTGAAATAACGCTATATTTCATTTCACTTTACTCTATTGATATTCCTTTTTGGGGACCCATATTTTAAAAGTCACAAACCTTTGTGACCCAAGTCAATGGGAAACGTGATGCAAGACGACCCAGTCTTTGGGAAACAATGTCCTATAGCACTGCATTTTTTTTGTTTGTTTTGCATTTAAACCTCCCCATTGTGCAGGGGCCGCATATATTTGCATGTATTTGAGACTCTGAGTCAAACAATCTTATCATTTTCATTTGTTTAACCCAGCGATTACAAATGTAGATCCTTTTGTTCCAATTTTAGTAACCGAATGCTAAGCCTTTAACAACAAACAGTGTTTACTATGCTGCAAGCATAGCATGCTTTACTATGCTATCCTACTATATATTTACTATATATATTACTATATATATGTTTATAAAAATTAATATATTTCCATGCCTATAGTAAAGTATTATTTCACAATATATATCGCAATATATTGTATCATGTTGCCAGATTCTTGCCATCTAGGGTTTTATATTTGTAATCGCAAGTAAAAGCAAAACAAACAAACCAACTATTTGAATCTTAATTGTTGATAAAAATCAATCAACATTGATATTTTCTTAAATCCCCTGTATGTATAAACTGAAAACAAAATCAAGTGTTCCTTTATTAGGGAATTTATGGCTTGACTTTTATATGGATATTTTTATGGCCACAGTCGGAATATTACTTGCAGGTTCATTTCCGTGAAATGATGTTAGTGTTCATTCTGGATGCAGATTTAAATGACAGAATTATGGGATCCTTTTTGTTCGTTTTTTTTTTTTCATTTCAAAAACGAGTACATCACACTAATCCTTATATCGTCTGTCTTTGTGGCCGCAGACTCATAGACCTGTGTTTACGTGTGTGCATGCGAGCCATGTGGTTCTGTGGAGGTTTCCACTGGATCAAGGTAAAAGGAGAGCGAGCAGCTCCCTCTGAAGTTCCCATTCTCACCGTAGCGCCACACTCCTCCTACTTTGACGCTATCCCTGTCACCATGACCATGTGCTCCATAGTGACAAAACTGGAGAGCAGGAGCATTCCTGTCTGGGGCAGTGAGTATGCTCTATATTTCTGTAGACATATATTGACAGTTGACAACTTCATTTTAAATATAAAAAAATGAATTTTCTCTTAGCTCTGATCAGCTACATCCGGCCGGTGTTTGTGTTTCGGTCCGACCAGGATTCCAGGAGGAAAACTGTAGAGGAGATTAAGCAGAGAGCAAAATCTGGAGGGGAGTGGTCTCAGGTATGAGAACAAAACCTGAACCGGTTCTTACAGTACCGATCTCATTGGAATAAGGAGTGGGGGGATAGGTTGATGTACTGGTCACATGACTATTGTGTATTTGTATGTTGCAGATCATGATTTTTCCAGAGGGAACATGCACCAACAGGTCAGGTCTCATCTTATTCAAGCCTGGTATGTGTTCGGTCGAGGGAACAGTTCTGTGTATGCTAATGTAATGGGGATTAAGACTATTTCTCCCGTTGTTGGGAGGAACAGCTTTAGACGGCATTCACTCATTACTCATTTAAGACATTCCACCGCCACATAGACAACCTCTTTTTTGGAGACCTGTAGAAAATGAAAACACATGTCGACACTTTCCAAAAAGTCTAAACCACATGTACATGTACTGTATGTACATATACAAAACAGCCCAACACATTGTAAGATTCACCAGTGATTTTTATGATGAATAAAAAGTCAATAAAGTAAATTTTATTTTATTTTATTTTATTTTATTTTATTTTATTTTATTTTATTTTATTTTATTTTATTTTATTTTATTTTATTTTATTTTATTTTATTTTATTTTATTTTATTTTATTTTATTTTATTTTATTTTATTTTATTTTATTTTATTTTATTTTATTTTATTTTATTTTATTTTATTTTATTTTATTTTTTATTTAATTTAATTTAATTTAATTTAATTTATTTTTTATTTTAATTTAATTTAATTTAATTTTTTATATATATGTATATATAGTTTACCATAGTTTCTCTAACACTGCCTCCTCTGCCCTTTCTCAGGTGCTTTTATTCCAGGACTTCCTGTGCAGCCCGTGGTGCTACGCTATCCAAACAAACTGGTAAACAGCCCTGACCGTCTGCCCCGCTTCCTGTTCCTCTCTGTTTTCATTCGAACCACTTCTCTAACCTCTAACGCAGGTTTTGCGTGACCTCACCGTTTCACCAGCTGTTTGCTGATACCTTCACACACACACACACACACAGACTGGCACACAGCTGTGATGTAATGGTTTCTTTCCCCCTTACGCGTTAGTGTGAGATTCTCCTGCGCTGAATGACCTCACGTCCCGGGGGATGATATTTCATTCTCTTTCCTAGATACACACACGCACGCACACGCAGGTGTCATGTCTCTCCCGGCACTCCTGTCGTTCTCATTAATTATGCAGCTTTTTACCGACTTCTTCTTCTTTCTGTGTTCACCCTCAAAAGCCTGTCACTCTCAGTCCTTGGACCAAACTAGGTCGTTATGATCGCGGTTATGACGCAATGACTCGTTCGCCATAGGTAAAAATAAAATAAACCCTGTGTCCGTCCAGCAAATGACACAGATACATAGGTATTTAGACTTAAAAAGCAAGAGTCAGAACACAGAGGGAACACTAAAGGCTTCATAATTAATTCTAAATGTTTGCATAATTTTTTGGTGCCACACCTTTTTTTTAATCCTTTGGCTAAACCAACACCCGTGAAGCAAGCTGTCCTGGATTCAAGTTTTTAAATTCAAGTACAAACACACAGGGAGAGGCCTGTGGCACTGAAAACATCTACCAGTACAGGGAAGGATTTAAAAAAAAAAAAATTTTAAGGTTACTATATCCCTTTTCTTTTCGCAGGATACTGTGACATGGACATGGAACGGTCCTGGAGGGTGAGTCCTTCTGTTTTTGTTGTGCAAACATTTGAGACCGAATCAACAAATGTATGTGTTGCATACAAATATATATATATTTATACATATAAATATATATATATACATTTATATATATAAAAATATATACATATATTTATATATATTTACATATATTTGTATGTAACACACAAATGTATCTAACATACATTTGTTGATTTGTTGATTATGTATGTATGTACATTTGTTGATTATATATGTATATATATGTATGTATGTGTGTGTGTGTGTGTGTAACATCAATTCAGAACATAATGCAAAATTTGGTTTGTTTACAAAATAAAGTAGTATAAGCTTTCTTGAAGTGTGAAGAAATGTTGCGCGTAATCGAAATAGTGTTTGTGGTCACTAGTACATTTTCGCTCTTTAGTCTTTAGTGATTTTTCTCCCCCTGATTGTGCGCCTTCATTTTTTTTTTCTCTCAACTTCCAGGTTCAAAATCTTGTGGCTCACTTTGTGCCAACCTCACAATGCGATGGAAATCGAGGTGAGTGGTTCACTCAGCACGAGCAGGATTTAACGTCACATGTGCGCATTACTAATTCGGTCTACCTTATGTCCCAGTACTTGCCTGTTTACACACCATCAGATGAGGAAAGGGAAAACCCTGCCCTGTTTGCCAACAATGTCAGAAAACTTATGGCCAAGTAAGTGTTTGGGTATTAGCATTAATGCACAGGCAGCATGTGGCGTATAATAATATATACTGTAGTATATCATTTCATATTTTGTCCTTCCCCACTTCAGGGCACTGGATGTGCCACTAACAGACTTGTACTTTGACGACCGGGACATCATCCTGTCAGAGGGGCCATTAAAGATTCATAACTTCAGCAGCCTGCTGGAGTTTAACCACCTGGTTTGTCGCCTAGGGTGAGTAAAGGGAGACCAGATTGACTTGTTGGACCAGGTGGAACAGATATGTTTCGCTTAGGCTAAGCAGTGTTAAGGTAAAAAAACTCTGGCACCTGAGGGTGTGAAAAGAAAATGCAGGACTGGTATCGGTGTTCACCCCCAATGGTATTGTAAAATATAATATTTTTTTAGTATTTGTAGTTTTTGTGTTGCAGTTTATTATATATTTTTTTACATTTTTTGATTTTTTTTTTTACATGGTAAACTGTTATTTATTATACAGTCTTTCTACGGCTGTTCTTTTGTTGCTGTCAGTCTAATCTAATCTGTGTGTGTAGGTCAAATCATGCACATTTGTCCTTGTCTCTGTCTCTGCAGCTGATGTTATTACTTTGCACGGTAACTGGCGGATGTGTTCGATCTCTCTATTCTTATTGTGTTTCTTATTCGCTCCTTTACAGGGTCAGAGCTATGGTCAGAGAGAAAATGCTGACAGACAACGTAAACAGAGTCAGGAAGCTACAGGGTGAAAGGCTGAGTCTGGATGATTTCGCACAATTCTTCAATCTGCCGGTCACGGACACCCTGAGAGAAGTTTACAGTGTCTTCAAGGTAAACATGATACGAGGACCTCTCGTGTCCTCCACTCCTTTTTTGTCATCTCCTTTCCTTTCCTCTCCTTTCCTTACCTTTCCTCTCCTCACCTTACCTTTCCTTTCCTCTCCTCTCCTTTCCTTTCTTTTCCTTCCCTCTCCTTTCCCTTCCTTTCATTTCCTTTCCTTTTCCTTACCTTTCCTTTCATTTCATTTCCTTAACCCTTTCCTTTCCTTTCCTTTCCTTTCCTTTCCTTTCCCTCTCCCATCTTTCCTTTCCTTTCCTTTCCTTTCCTTTCCTTTCCTTTCCTTTCACCTCTCGTGTCCTCCACTCCTTTTTGGTCTTCTCCTTTCCTTTCTTTTCCTTTCCTTTCCTTTCCTCTCCTTCTTCTTTTGAGCCACAATGTCAGCAGACACAGCATGCAGTTTATTTTTTTATCATCAAATATATTTCCATAACTGGCATAACCTGTGCTAAACAGCAAAGTAATTTTCCTGTACGTCAAGCCTAGTTCTTCATCCCTATTTTGTTGTGTTGACAGTGTGAAGATGGCGGCATCGACGTCAGGCACTTTCTCATTGCACTGTCCACAGTTCACCGGCCAAATTCAATGGAGACCATTGAAATGGCGTTCAAGGTGCGTAACACCTCCGCTGAAATTGTTCACACGTGTCTGTTTAAACCAACGCCCTGGGGAATGTCTGTGGTGGTGCTGTGCAGATGTACGAGTCTGAGGAGACTGCTGAAGTCCAGGAGCAGGACCTCGCCACCATTTTGGAAATCATGCTGGGCGTGGAAGAGGTGGAGCTTTCAGTTATGTTTTTGACAATGGACAGAGGGACGGACACGGGGCGTCTCACGTACGGTGAGTGCAAGAGGGGTTTGCGCAGGAGCAGAATATGTTTGTCTAATTCAGGGGTGTCACATACGGCCCGGATTAGATTTCAAGTGGGCCGGACCGGTACAATCATAACATAATTTTCCTGCAAATAAGTACAAGAATATTAAGAAAATATTCATATTTAATGAAATATAATCTGACAAAACATCACCAACATGAAGTTTACGCATTTTTTTGAATTCAAAATTCATCAAGGGGGCCGGATTGAATCTCTAGTGGGCCAGTTTTGGCCCGCGGGCCGTATGTTTGACATCCCTGTTCTGTTTTCTGCTTTAAAATTGGTCAACAAAAGTAAACATCTTGTATTTCGGCTCCCTTTTCTCTACAGATGAGTTTTGTGGCTGTTTAAAGCAGTATCCCTACTTCGTCTCAGACGTCCTCGGTTTCAAGGACCACCCTCGCAGCTTCTGCATCAAGCGAAGAAGGCACAATGGTCAGGACCACGACAAAGACGCCTGAAGGACGGACTTGTGATCTCCAACAACTATTTATCTTCTGTGTCTGAGGCACCGGCTACCCCAGGAATCGGACGTGTGCGCCGACCACCGCTGTGCCTTCATTAGAATAATGATAGTAATAATAAAGGTGTCATGTCGTGTACGGACTCTACCAAAGCACAGATTACGGTGGCTGTGTTGTTTGGGCTTTCTTGTGTCTGTGAATTTTATTTTATTTTTTTTTTTTTCTGGTTTATGGCCAGCAAATATTACAGTACACAGAGGTAATATTGTAAAATATTATAATATATAAATGCGCGGAGAAAGGGAAAAGTACTGCCAGATGAAAGAGGAGCAACTCTAGCTCTAGTGTCATTGAAATCCAGCCCAGGTCTAGACATGGAGAATCCTGGGTCATGGCCTTTGTCCAACCCAGTCTACCAGTTAACTGGGTAGTTAAACCAAAGCTGCATCGAAATAATACATGAACCTTTTTGCGCTGACTCCCAACAAGGGAAAAAAAAAAAGAACGCAAAAACCTTTATTTTATTTACAACAGTCTCAGTTGTAGGTGTTTAATATTTTGTATAATAATTAACAATTATGTCTTTACTAAAAAATCAGACTAGATAAAAAAATGTATTTAATCTTTTTATGAATTATCCTATGAAGAGAGTCCGCAACCTACGACATTTCGTGGTACGTCGCCGTCTCGCACAAACGTATGAAGAAAGTCTCATTTCGACGTACGATTTTAAAACAAATTTTACACAGGAACTGGTGGACAAATACTGGTGTGTGGTGTGTGAGGTATTGGGTACTGGTGTGGGCTGCTGTTATTGCTGATGGATTAGTTTAGTGCTTCTCAAATTGTGGGGCAGGACCCCCATGGGGGCACGGTGAGGTGCCAGTGGGGGCATTAGGGGCTTTTGTTGGAATATGGCATACTGGACATAATGTACCACTCCTGTAATTCTTGAATGATAACAAGCCTCCAGTCACTAGGTGGCAGCACCTCATACAGTGGTTTGTACAGATAAAAAAAATACATGTTATCGGGTTCTCAGAAAATGACATTTTCTGCATGACAGAAAATAATTGAGAACCATTGGATTAGTAAGACCAGGGGTGTCAAACTCATTTTGATTCGGGGTCCACATACAGTCTGATTAAATGTCAAATGGGACGGACCAGTACAATCATAACATAATTACCTATAAATAATATTAAGTCCATGTTTTTCCCCTTTGTTTTTATGCAAATAAGTACCAGTATATTAGAAAATATTCATATTTAATGGTAAATCATTTGACAAACCACTAACATGAAGTGTTTTTCACTTTCAGAATTTATGAAACGGACCGGTTTGAACCCCCCAGTGGGCTGGTTTCGGCCCACGGGCCGTATGTTTGATACCTCCGTTTCAGGTTGAAGACCTATGAAATATACTGCATGTTTTGTAGAAGCGATCAATATGACTGCAGGACACTGTTCTGTGTGACTGGCTAACAAAGACATTAAAGATAACAGAATAATAACACTGACCATCGTTAAAGGACCAAAACCCGAGAAATTTGTGTAACTAATTTTTTATGGAGTAAAATCATGACAGTAATATTCCTGTAACGTGTATTTCCTATGAAGAATTCCAAACAATACTTTGTTTTCTGACGCTGTCAATATCTATTTTGTGCCACTAGGTGGAGCCCTGCTCCCGCACATTCAGTTCTCGGGCACTGACTCCTTCACTCACTTAATGTGACCTCAACGCTGCTGATTCAAAACAATTTATTTTCCAGGCTGTGCCACACTTTTATTATACGGTATTAGCTGTGTTTTATTATTTAAGTCTCTAAAATGTTCTTATTTCTCCACCACATATAGTTCCCCGCCGGTGTTTTTCGTGATGCTTCATCTGCTCAAGAGTCCGCATGGTGGTGCTGGCTCCCTTAGCATTAGACTCCAGAGAGCACTCACGCACCAGTGCCCACCTGATGGACAGGAAAAGCATTACCTCATCGCTTCCTTTCATTCCTCCAGGTAAAAAATAGACAGATTAAGCCTGGGCTTTGATGAGCGAAACCTACAGAGGAGGTGTGAAAGTAAGAGAGGGAGAGAGGGATGAAGATGGAGAAGAGCGACTAAATGGATCGTTCTGCTCCAAATCCAATTCCTAATAGCTGCAGGGAGGATGAGTGGGAGGGAGGGAGGGAGGGAGAGGGAAAAAGTCAAAGGAGGAGAGTGAAGATACCACGACTAACAATTAAGACCTGCCTCCAGGGTGTGAGGAAAGGAGCTTTGTTGAGAACATATAAATTGCTCATTGAGAAGTGGCTTTCTGCAGACTCTCTCTGATACTACTGCCTCAAAGGTAGTAGACCACACCACAACCGCCACACTGGAGTGTTTGCACTGTTTGAGGATCTGCCTTCCACCCTGATCCCAGCCAAGAAAGAATCATGGGAATATCTTTTTGATCAGGCCTTTAATCGTTATATTAAATTGAACATTCAGTTTTGTGGAATAACAAAATTTTAAAAACCAAGTTTAGCCAAAAATGCATTTTTGCATGCATTTGTTGCAACATTCAAATAAATATTATTATTAAACATATTTACTGGGAGGATAGTGATGTCAATGAGAAATATTAAGGCTTTTACAATTTATAAATATATATATATATATTATTGCTGTTGATCTTTAACATAGATCGGTAGAATCATCAACTGGCGGCCCCCGGGCCCAACGCGGTACGTCAAACTGTCCAATTGCCCGGCTCATGACTAGATTGAGGATCACGTAGAAAATATTGTGTTGTGATGAGGCAGTAGTTCTCACATTACTGTAAGTGTTGCAGTCAACAGCGACATTACTTTTAAGATAGCCAGTGACGAGGTTCCCCGTTGTAAATGTCAAATAAAACGACCATCTTTTCAATAAGCGAATGAGTAGAACTTGTAGATACAGTCGATTCTTTTCGCACATTTGCGGGTGTGCGACGGCAGCATAAATATTGAAACAGTTAGTTCATGGCCTTTTCAGTTATTCATATCTCGGCTTCGTAATTACATACACAGATATGCAGATGTGTTTACGCATGAATGTCTACAATACACTTACATATGTGGTGTCAGTACACGATTACAGGTCTGATGTTAACAGCAGGTGTGAATACGGTGTGAACGGAAATGCGCAGCAGTAGATATGGAAGCTTTGTTCTCAAAACTCCTCAGTGTCGCCTCTGAAATCCCCACCCGGCAACCAGGAAGTGGAACATTCTAGGTCTAAATCTAAGTAGATTTTATCAAGTTACGTCCACGGGGATTAAATTAGCATCGCAGCATTAGCAGCTCATTATACATTTTTCTACATGTCTAAAACCATTGAAAATGTTCCGACGATCGATGTTGTGGTAGAAATGCGTAAAGTTGGCCGCAATTTTCTGATGTTATTTCCTGGGGTGTTTTAGGACGCCTCGGGGCCCCCCGGGCAAGAGGGACGATCGCAGTGTGTAAAGCTGTTTAATCATGTTGTCATTGATAAATGGACCAATGACAGCCGTCTCTTGGGGATCCTTCCTCGGAAGGGCCTCGGGGCCCTGGGCAATTGCCTGGGTTATCTGCCCCGTTGCGATGCCCGTGCATGCGAAGAATGTGTTGTACGTGTCTTCTTATCTCTTTACTGTCGCGCAATTAAAACGACCGGAGGGACGGCGCTCCTCTATGTCTCCTCTATCCGTCATGTCGGCACGACTGCAATGCATGATGGGATATATTGCTTGGGTAGTGACCATTAGCAGTGCACGAGGTTTCGCGGTGCGTTGTGGGATGCATTGAGTACCCTTTACAGTGAACTATTTCTACTAACTAAAATTCGGACATCACTACAAACTTGTGTGCCCCCATGCAGTACACTATGTGGGGCATAGGGGGCAGTTTTGAACACAATTTATTAATAGTTACTTTCAAGACCAGTGGTTAATGTTCATCTCGTTAATCATATCGTTCATATCGTTAATGCTCATATCAGTGGTTCTCAAAGTGGGGGGCGCAGGTCTATTGCAGGGCTGGTGCAGCAAGGATAAATACATTTGATTTTCTGTATTTTCTTCAGGGAACCACATGCTTGTACACATTAGGGATTTATTTTTCAAGGCTTGTCACAAAATGCATTTTTAAGCATTACACTCCGGTTTTCACCAGCAGCTGCTGACATTTTTTTATTTTTTAACATTTCCAAAACAAAGTGTTACAGCACCATGTCATTACTGTTTCCACTGTGCTGTCCATCTGGCAATATTTAATTATACTGTCTTTCAATGAGGCTTCAAAAGGTTTTAGTCGTGACCTAATTATGCCAATGGGATTGCCTAAAATGCATGCAGTGTGAAATTTATTTTAAGGAACGTGATTGATGACAGTCCTTCATGCTACATGCCTCATGTTTTTTTTTTTTTAAATAAAATCATCACAACGTCAGCGGGGTATAAAACCAGCCGGTTTAATTTATGTGTAAATATTTTTTTTCTAATGATGTTTGTCAGTAAAACAACAACAACAACAAAAACAACAACAACAAAAAAAACACTATACACCAGGGGTGTCAAACATAAGGCCCGTGGGCCAAAATCGACCTGCTAGGGAGTTCAAATTGGGCACCTGAATAATTTTTTTTTTTAAACTTACCTTTATACTATCTATTTTATACATAGACTCTGTGTCAAATGTTGAAATATTTACCTGAGAAATCATTGAACCAAAGCCTTTTTTTTTTTCTCAAATTATTCTACATAAGGTTTTCGTATAATTTCTTCTACAAGCGGAGTAGTGAGGAAAAGGCTATGAACAGATTTTTTTTTTTTTTCACTTTTTTCTCTGTAACTTTTTTCAGTTTTCTGCTTCTTTGCGACAGCAAATTCCAGATGTTTGTCAGTAAAACAACAACAACAACAAAAACAACAACAACAAAAAAAACACTATACACCAGGGGTGTCAAACATAAGGCCCGTGGGCCAAAATCGACCTGCTAGGGAGTTCAAATTGGGCACCTGAATAATTTTTTTTTTTAAACTTACCTTTATACTATCTATTTTATACATAGACTCTGTGTCAAATGTTGAAATATTTACCTGAGAAATCATTGAACCAAAGCCTTTTTTTTTTCTCAAATTATTCTACATAAG